CGACTTCAACTTCCAGGTACTATCTATCGAATATGGAATATTGTTAATTACATACGGCAGGGGAAAATTTGAAAGCCTACAGTGCCTGGATCTCTTTATCTGGTTAAATTGCCTACGACCAGCGCAGGCTTATTACATACTGTGAACTGTGTCAACCAGACGCTGTGATTAGCCTGCGTCACAGACGCCACATAGCGCAGGTTACGAAACGTGAGCTTTCAAAAACGACGACTCTAGACAGACACACAGACAGAAAGTCAAAAAAATAGACAGATAGTCAGTCAGTCAGAAAGACAGACAGACGGACAGACAGACAGACAGACAGATAGATGGGCAGATAGGCAAATAAACAGGTGTGAGGGAGTGAGTGAGTGAGGGACTCAGGAAGTATTTATTACACATCTAAAATTAAATTTAAAATCTAGCTAAATTAGCATCATATTACTATGAAAATATTTATAATATCCACGTGATGATATTCCTCGCGCGATCAATTCGTCCTCCATTCGAAAAACACGTTTTAAAATTTGACCCGAAAACATTCTTACGAAAGTCATGACTTTTTTGTGTCATGTCTTGTGGTTTGGTAGTACAGGGAAATGCCGGGAGACTTAGTAATAAGCTACAATTCTCATATTNCATTTTTTCTGTCTCTTTCTTTCATCTAGGCCGTGCTATCTAGACTAAACATGTTCGTAATGGCAAAGAACTTCCAGAGATTGCTCGGGATAACCACTACGACTTCAACTTCCAGGTACTGTCTATCGAATATGGAATATTGTTAATTACATACGGCAGGGAAAAATTTGAAAGCCTATAGTGCCTGGATCTCTTTATCTGGTTGAATTGCCTATGACCAGCGCAGGTGTCAACCAGACGCTATGATTAGTCTGCTTCACAGACGCCACATAGCGCAGGTTACGAAACGTGAGCTTTCAAAAACGACGACTCTAGACAGACACACAGACAAAAAGTCAGAAAGATAGACAGACGGTGAGTCAGTCAGAAAGACAGACAGACGGACAGACAGACAGACGGACAGCCAGCCAGACAGACAGACAGACAGATAGAGGGGCAGATAGGCAAATAAACAGGTGCGAGGGAGAGAGTGAGTGAGGGACTCAGGAAGTATTTATTACACATCTAAAACTAAATTTAAAATCTAGCTAAATTAGCATCATATTACTATGAAAATATTTGTAATATCCACGTGATGATATTCTTCGCGCCATCAATTCGTCCTCCATTCGAAAGACACGTTTTAAAATTTGACCCGAAAACATTCTTACGAAAGTCATGACTTTTTAGGGTCATGTCTTGTGGTTTGGTAGTACAGGGAAATGCCGGGAGACTTAGTAATAAGCTACAATTCTCATATTGATACCTTTTTCCATCCCATAATGGTCTTAAGACCTTAAAATATCTTTTACAGAAATTGAAATATATTTTTAACTTTTTTAAATGATGAAAATTTATTTTT